CTCCATCAAGTTCGCCAACGTGTACCTCTGCCCACCTCTGGCTCGCCCTTGGCGGCAGGGCGGGCAGGAGCAGCGCCATGACCGGCACCCACCAGGTCAAGATTCAGAGTCACATGGCTGTCATCCATGAGCAAAGCAGGGGCCGGGGATTGACTGCGGCGGTCGCCGGTCGGGAGTCGGGTTAAGTCGGGTTGCCGGGTTTGGTGTGCGTGGACACAACAATGGATTCAATCCCCGAAAGCCAACTCCCAGTTCTCAAACATGTGACTGATTATCAAGGGTCTGATGGGACTTCGAGCCAAGGATCTGGAAGAAAATCGCGAAGCATCATCGCAAGGACACTGATACAAGTTTGCACAAAGAGAATATATACATACATCTTGTTGCATCTTGCTAGGCTGTTCTACCGTAGACTCCGTCGACAGTGTGTTCTGCTGATTGACAACTTACAACACCACTACTCTTGCTCAAGAACAACTCCAAACAATGACCTGCCTCAGGTCCCCAGGTAACCTGCTGACAAAACCGCCTTTGTTACTCGTATGGACTTCTGAGCGGGCTCCAGGTCCAACAAAAACTAAGTTAGCCCGAAGTTCCCGAAGCTTCCACAGCCTCCAAAGGATGAAGGCCCCCCAGCAAGGGAAGTTGACGGTGACGGCGCTAAGTTGTTGCAAACCATGTCTTGCACTGGCGCCAACAGAGCCCAGTTCCAAACATCTAACATGCAATTCGGATCGATCCGCCACAAAAAAAATCATGTGTGCATCCCAGAGTAGGGAAAACAAATGCATCTGACAAGCAGCGCAAAAACCGAAACACTGCTGAAAGCGCACTAGACACAAGCATGGCAAGGAATATCAAAAACCATACGTCAAGTAATGTACAGTACAGCTTCGCACATTGTTTTACTCCATTATTTCATCCACACATCAAAGTGAACAATACCACCGCCAACAGCCGTCTGGAGTTCAATATGGGCTCCGAGTCGAGTTCACTTCCCTGAGATGAAGGTGGCTGCTAGGTGGGTTGCGAGTCACACTTCTCGACCATGACGATGCCATCGCTTCCAACCTTGATGTTCATCAACCCGTCATCGTCGCGGGTGCAATGGGTGAGAGTTCCACCCTCCTCAAAGTCGATGTGGCGAAACACAAAGCAGGCCATCTCCTTAGGCTCAAACTCAAGCCTGGCAGCGGGCCCAGACTCAGGCTTGGTTTTCTTGAGGAAACCGGCATCACTGCCAGCACCGCTACCGCTGCCACTACTCATGGCAGCAGCGGGCCCAGACTCAGGCTTGGTTTTCTTGAGGAAACCGGCATCACTGCCAGCACCGCTACCGCTGCCACTACTCATGGCAAATAAGGGGTTGCGTGACCCCTGCAGGCAGCCCCTTGACGTGGCTCCGTGGCTGCAGGCTCCCACACCCACACATCTCAGTCTCAGTTGTCTCAAGGCCAGACTTGACTGAACCAGCATATTTGCCCTCTTAAACATCGGTTTGCTTCTGCAAGTTGCTGAATCATCAAACATGTAACACGTGAAACCAACAGTTTGCAAGGGATCGAAAGTTTGTGTTGCATCTTGCATCTCATGAGATCCTTTAGACACCACAAAATAATCTGAAATCACCAGGTGTGATTCGAAATTTGAAAAGCGCAATGTGTTCTGATGACACCATGGTGACGCCATGCACACTGACGTCAGACCTCGTCCAAAAACCCATACATCGGACACAGTTGCGTGCGCAGCAATCTGAAAGAACACCAAGATGCTCCATGGTGTTCTGAAAACCCCCCAAAAAACACACTTTTTTTTACCTTCAGAACCAACCCGCCCTGACCCACGAAATTTGATACAAAGATCCAAGAAGAGCTCATCCCAAATTGACAGAATGCGAGAGAGCCTCATTGGCACACGTCGATCCCGATGAGAATCTCGGAGAAGAAGAATTCTACTTCCATCATTGAGGAGCATGTCCCACCATGGACGAGTACAGGCAGGCACAACCAGAATCCGGATATCCTATTAAGCTTCCGCTTGGATTGAAGAGGCTTAGGTCAAATGACGACCCGGAACTCATCCGAGCATATGCCGATATCCTGGGATCGCTGATGCAGCCGACCGACCGTCCACCTGTGGACCATCTCAAGACGCATGAGTTCACCTCATCCCTGACGATCAACATGCTTACTATGAACCATGGAAACCTCACGAGGAATCCAAAGCTTGACAACAGGGAGGTGTATAACATGCCGATGAAGGATCGACCAATCATGAAGATGATGATGCAAAACAGTGCACACATCTTATGCCTGAATGAAGCAGACGCATTCTTCAGTCCTAATGGATACAAGGGCATTGTGATCAAGCAATGGTCATCCAGACCAATCGCATGCTTTGTCCGCGGCGGACCGTCCGCAAGAGTGGAACTACTGGCAAGATATATTTCCACCAAGAGTCAGAATTGGGGAACCACATTCGGGATGTTCAGATGTTTCTTCGGCGCCGAGGAAAATTGCACTGATCCTGAATACGAAATTCCGACCTCGGACTGCTTGGCAACTACGGGAACATCCATGTTCGCTGAATCCAAGAAGTACATTGGACCGAGATTGCCACCACGCACCATTGTCCAAGGACACGGACGAGACAAGGAGATTGTCGTTCTCCACATCGAGCAGAGTGATGAGTTTCGTGGCATGATCCCGAAATCAACCAACGCAGACCTCCCGTTTGCTACCATTGGAGTTTTCCACATCCATCCATCAATCAGCCATGGAGCAGCACGGGACTCGGGACGACTTTCAGAAAGAGATCATGCCGCTCGTGACATTGTACCGATGCGATGCGATCACCGGAGACGCCAACAAGTCCGCGAATACCTACAGCAAAACTCCAGCAGGTTTTCAATCCGGCCAACGGTCTCATGAACATCCTCATGAAGGCATATCAGAGACTGTGGAATGAAACGAACAATCAGCCACTCGTGGACAGAATGGAGTATGCAATGGAGACTTCGTGCACCCTAAAATCCATTATCCGTCATCACCTGCACATGAAGTGTGGATCAGGGTATGATCGAACATTCCCAGATGTGATGATGACTTTCGAGTTTGGCTGGGGCAAAACGAATATCCAGCAGGCTTTCCGGAATGAAGAGATGAACGCCATGAATGATGAACAACTGGAAGCCATGCGGAACGATCCAGCACAGGCCATATTCGATTACCGGGTCTCATCCGCAGAGCGCTTTAAGCACGTGAACAATGACATGTTCATGAATGGCTCGCAGGATTCCGATTCGCACAGTCCCCTCATGGTTTACATCCGCAGCAAATCTGCAGTCAGGCAACGCAACCATGAGAGAACCAAGGAGTACCTCAAGAAGAAGCAATCCTGGACCCCGCAAGAGTACAAGGACTACAACAAGCAGTGGGGATATCAGAAGCAGTGGAAGGGCTATGGCGACTCGACCTGGAATGATTATGGAGACGTCAATCCGACAGCAGCCGTCGGTGGTACAAATGAAGAAGCCACCTTTGGCATTCATCCGATTGACCGAGAAGACTCATACGTTCAGCACTACGAACTACAACCAGATTGATCCTCACCGCCAACAAGACTATTCAGTGAGAGATCAATCGTTTCACATTCGTCCCGCATGTACATAGCGTTGTGCATCACTTTTCGATACATCTAGGTATCTCACAGAATCAGTACAGACTGTTTTCCATTTTGCAAGATCAAGACATTTCATCCGCGCAGAAAATAGGATGAATCCAGTATTTCAAGATACATGGCTACGGCATGCAACAAGGCTACGGCCGAAGGCCATGAAGCCAATGATATTTCATATCTAGTGCTGGAGATCAAAAGAAATTTGTGTCTGTTTTGTGTTTGGTTTGTTACACAGTTGATCTCCCGCAACCATTTGGCTCAAGGCCCTTTTTCAGCATCATAGCAACGCTCATGATTGCGTGACAAAGGAACCTTTGCAGGCCGCTTACAGGATTATCCATCAATATAATCCACCAGGGACAATCCATCCTCCAATCATCCATATTGGCATATTGGACTCTCTCCGGAATAGATCTAGGGACCAAATCAACGACCTCAACTACCACAAGGGTACCAGTTCCCTTCGGGGATAGGCACCCCGGCAGTGGGCCTCACCCCCCCCCCCCCAAAAAAAAAGCCTACGTATTTGACGTCGGGCGGGGGGGGTAAGGGGGGGGGGTTATCCTCTATCCTCTATCCTCTAGTAAGTATCCAACACGCCGAACAATGTTGGCGGATATATATACAGCGGCAAATGTGCTTTGCGCAACAGTCGCACCCTGCAAAGAGCAGGATGATTTTGGGCATGCTTTTGAGGAACCTGCGTTGGCTGGTCACTCAAAAGCATCATCGTGCTTGATGAAGCAAAGCTCGCTTGGCGTGAGTGTGTGTTTGTGTTTCTGAAAACATGCCTCACTGCAAGCCTTGCAACAAAAAACTGAACTCCGGTGAATCATGCGAGTGTTTGCGCTCCCTTGATTTTGAGCCCAACCCAATGATGCAACCGTCTCATTGTCGTTGAGTTGCCTTCGGCTTGTCGTGCACGTCATTTGGTCCGTGCGCAGGGGCTCCCGGGACTTCCTGGCGTCCTCCAAGGACTTGGGCCAGCGGTCCCTGGCGGCGGCCGGGCGCCCAAAACCGGACTGGACCGGGAGAAGGGGAGATCCAAGTCGAAGGCCCTCCGAATCTTCCAGTACCTGGACGAGACCACGCACCGAGGCACCAAACCCGAGGACGGGAGCTCTCAATTGACATGCCATGTCACGCCCTTTTCATGGAGTTCCCAGTGCGCAGCTCCAGTGCTCGAAGCGCGGGCCGGCAAGCCTATTCGAATCGTTCACAGGCTGCAAGCAAGCTGCCGATTCAACAGACAGCACAGTGCGGCAGAACTCGATTCCGGAAAGGCCTCATGGCTTTGACAGAGGCCACACCCATAGGCAGCCATGAGCCTGGCCGTGCGCTTGTTCTCACAGGCAGGGGAATGTCGGGGCGGAGTTTTAGACAGAGAGGAACGCCAGGCGCGGGTGCGGCGGTTCAGCACTTCTGGGCCTTTGGCTGGAGTACGCGTGCTGGACATGACCCGCGTGCTGGCAGGAGTGCACGGTTTCGGAGCAAAGTGTTCGGGAAATGACTTGGGGCAGCTGAAATTCCAGGTGCGGGGGCAGGTCCCATTGGCATTTTGCCTCACAGGCCCCTGCTGCACGCAGATCTTGGGAGACCTCGGCGCGGAGGTCACCAAGGTGGAGCGGCCCGGCGTGGGCGACGACACCCGCGGCTTTGCGCCACCCTTCCTGCCGGCCGCGAAGGCCGTGGACCGTTTGGCCGCTCGGCCGACCTGTCGAGTTCGCCTTAGGAGCAGCCCATGGCCGCCTACTTCGCTGCCCAGAATCGCAACAAGACGTCCCTGACGCTGAACTACACGAAGCCGCAGGGCCAGGCCGAGCTGGGCGTTGGGAGAACGGGGGGAGGCCGATGGGTCGATGGGTCAATGGGTCGATGCTTGCCGATGTTGGCCGTGGCGGAAGGAGATCCTGCGGCGCTTGCTGAAGTCCAGTGACGTCCTGGTGGAGAACTTCAAGACCGGCACGCTGGGCAAGTACGGCCTGGGCTACTCGCATACCCCAAGGTCCACTGTCTCTAACTCGGATCCAGATTCGATGTGCCAAGGCTATGCTGACCTGAAGCAGGACTTCCCTGGGCTGGTCTACTGCTCCATCACTGGCTGGGGACAGACTGGCCCTTACAGCGCCCGACCCGGCTATGACGCGCTGGTTCAGGCGTGGGCCATTGGCGTATCATTCGCTTCGAATGGGCTTCCGAGGCTATGGGGGGCTTCATGAGCGTGACTGGAGATCCGGAGGGTGAGCCGATGAAGGTCGGCGTGCCCGTCCATGATCTTTATGCCGGCTTGCATGGGGCAGCTCGGATGTGCCAATTAGCCAATTACTGCTGCGTTGCTTGCCGTGACCTGGTCACAGGTTTTGAGGGGCCCAGGTCATTGGCATCCTTGCTGCCCTGCGGCACGCAGCTGCGACTGGGGAAGGCCAACACGTAGACACTCGTCAGAGACAGGCAGCGGGGCGAGGCGCCCGTGTTGCAAGGGCGCAAGCCGGCCTCCGAGGATATTGGCATGCTGGACGTTTCCACGGCCATGCTGGCCAACCAGGCGAGCAACTTCCTGGCGACGGGCAAAGTGCCAGAGCGGCTGGGGAACCAGCATCCCAATATCGTGCCCTATCAGGCGCGGTCAGGAGACACTGCCATGTTGCCATTTGTTCGGTGAGGTGGTGGAGGTTGGAGTGAGGTGATGCCTGCCGCGGATGGCTACTTCATTCTGAGTGTGGGCAACGACCCCACCTTCGAGCGCTTCATTGCTGTGGCTGAGAAGGCTCAACACATCTCAAAAACAACGATGCGCCGGTCCGGAGTCGGTTCCGGTCCAGAAATGGAGCCAGGCCGCACCGGGAGCTGCCACCAAGCTCTTAGACGACGACCGCTTCAACTCGCAGACGGCCAGGGTGGCCAATCGGATGCTCAGCTAAGGGAAACGCGATTTTCACGCTGAAAGGGCCGGAAGTGGTTGATCCAGGAAGCTGGTCACGGACACCTGCAACGCCATCACCAGGACTGCCGATTGCAAGACTTCCTCGGGATTTCATGGGGATATTCAAGAGTCTCGAGGCAGCGGCCGGTGTCCTGGTGGCTGGAAGAGCTGGAGAAGTCCAGCGTGGGTTGCTCGCCCATCCAGAACTTGGAGGAGGTCTTCCAAGACCCCCACCTGCGATCGACCCTCGGACTGGCTAGCTATCAGCCGCTAGCCGCTTGCAGACTTAAGGATGTTCAATTTTCAATGTGCCGCAAAGTGCAAGGAGGGAGATGGTCATTGAAATGGATGTGGCAGGTGGCTTGTCTCATAAGGTTTGGCGGATGAATCTTTGCCGGTATGCCTTACTCTTGTCTCTGCCTAACATGATGTGCGCGTTGGCCCAAGGCCATGGTGTTCCCGCCAAGTTGGTCGCATCACCTCTGAAGTTCTCGAAGACACCAGCGTCCTACCGGCAAGCGCCCCCGGCGCTCGGCGAGCACACCGAGGACCTCGAGCGACGCTTCGATCTTAAGCGGCTTGAAACGCGTGGAGCCGTGGAAAACGGGTGGAAAGGAGGTGCTGCAGCGGGCCGGCTTCAGCGAGGACGAGGTCGCCGACTTTCGCCAGAGCGGCGCCTTGGATTGCAAGAGGCGTCACGCGGCGTCACGCGGCGTCACGACTCGCAGCGCCGGAGGTGTGATTTGAGGGGCAGCCATGTACAGAATGCCGTCCCGGATCCATTGACGTGTACAGAGAGTGCTGGGCAACAGGGAAGCAGATGCAAAAGGCAAGACTTTGCCAATTTGCCGACCTGCATTGATCTGCGAAGCTTCGAGAGAGGACCTGAAGAACTTCAACCTCATGGTGGACAGCCTGGACGACGTGCTGGAGCGCGTGGATGCGAACCTGAGGCGGGATGTCGTGTCTGTTTGAGCTCATGGCCTGTGGCCGAGGGACGCGGCGTCCGGGGTGCGAGACCGGGAAGCCCGCGAGGCGACGTGCGTTTGCACCGATTTCGCTTGCGAAGAATCAGCAGATTCAACAGCCGTCTGCCAAATCGGAGGACCCGGAGGAGGAGGCGCCTGCGCCAGGCAGGCCCATGGGATTCTCCGGACTGTCCGGAAGTGGCAACTCTGAGGCCCAGCGCCGGGCAGCCGCTTGCCAAAGCCGCAGGCAGAGGACTCCTTTTAGGGCACGCGAGAGGGTCAAGTCCCAGGTGCGCTGGCGGCACCTTGTCGACAACCACCGCACTCGCTTTGTTCCCAGGCGTGCGGTGCCTCTCATTGCTTGAATCTCCTCAGCTTTTGCGGAGAGGCTGCAGTCTACATAAACACGAAAATCTGAACATGTCAACCCCAAGACCCCCAAGGCCTGACAATTTTGAGTTTTAAGCAGCCAAAACCCTTCACACCCCAAAGATTCCGAACTAAATCTGAGTCCAACCGCAGCCCTGTGACTCAAGATGCTGCCGCGGCTCTTCGTCCGTTCCGCGCCGGCTCTCCGGGCGCGGCCCCAGGTCGCGGCATATGGGTTGCAGGCCCGATGCTTTGCTCATCCGGTGAACTTTCACCTGATGCTTGACAATGATGAGATGGCCCCCTCGTCCGAAAAACCCACGTACAAGAATGAATTCTTGCACAAGTCCCCAAAGGAGCACAAAGAGGACTTCGAGAAAGCCGTCAGGCCCCCGGCAGTGCACGACACCTCGCAGCTCTGCGAGACCTCCGGCGATCCTCACCAGTTTGTTGGCATGGGAGAGTTGAGGTACTACCACTACGACACAATCCGTGAGCCAACTTTCCCCAGGAAGCCTGACCTCTCCAAGGGTGAGCTTGCCTCTGGAGCAACATTGACCCGCACGGACGTGTGGCAGGATCCCAAGGAGCCTGCAATTGTGTCCGTTGCCAAGTTCTCCCCGGAGAACTTCCGTCCCGTTGGCTATGCAGAGCATGCTCCAATGCCCACAACCACAGTGCCAGCAGGAGCGCTCGACTTCCGAGCCAACCGCCTTCCCATTGGCCATGCGGATCGCCGTCCCTTCGTGTACTTCATGACCGCCGCGAGTGCTGTGATCGCAGCCTCGCTGATCCGGGCGATTGCCGGAAAGCTCATCCTGACACTCTGGCCGGCCAAGGATGTGTTTGCGGCCGGTGTCGTTGAGGTCGACCTGCGACCAATCCGATTGGGGCAGAACTTCACTGTGAAGTGGCGTTCGAAGCCGGTCTTCATCCGCAAGCGCACTCCTGAGCAGATCGCAGCTGCCCGGAAGGATGATGTCATTGCCCCCTCCATGCGCGACCCGGCCACTGATGCTGACCGCTGCAAGCGCCCTGAGTGGCTGATTTGCATCGGTGTTTGCACGCACCTGGGCTGCATCCCGCAGCCCGACTCGGGCAACTACGGCGGCTACTTCTGCCCTTGCCACGGCTCCCATTATGACTACGCCGGACGCATGCGCCAAGGACCGGCCCCCAAGAACCTGGAGCTGCCCCCCTACACCTTCCTCGACGACAACACCGTGAAGCTCGGCTAAGTGCCGACGCTTGGGGTACGGCAAGAAAGATGTGAACCAGCAACGTTCTCCGTCTCATAGCTTTGACCCGGCAAAATCCTGCCCTGGAGCGCATGCAGTGCTGTCAGCATGTTTGCAAGATGCTTGCTGCTGCAACAGCAACATCCCAAGCGCTGACCTTAGGCAATCAAAGTGCACGCTGGAAACACCACGAAGCGGTTGGGGACGTGATGCGTCGCGTCCGCGGCCCGAGCGCCATCAGTGCCAGGCTGCTGGTGAAGCACAACGAGCAGTCGCCGCTCTCGACGAAGCTTCTGGAAGCTCAGCAGAAGGTTGGCATCCGGCCGAATGCCAGGCGCCAAGGTTGCCATTTCCGCAAGCCGCTCTGGTTGCGATCCAATGATGGACATCTCAGACATCTCTGCCGATGATTGTAGCAATCCGGGCATTCCAACTTTTTCCCAAGGCCCCTGAAATCCAAAGCTGGAGCTCAGTTTGTGTCGATCACGGCGAGGCTGAGCCTACGCTCCCGGGCGTTGGAGGTTCGCAGGAGCCACACTGTCGCCCGTTGCGTTCTCGAGGGATTCCTGTGCAGGACTTGGCTTCCGCTTTGGCTCATCCCTATGAGCAGGCCTTTTGCCCATGCAATGCTGTCCTGCGCGGCACTCGACTGGCACTCTGGCACTCGCCCACTCAACCCCGTCAGCAATTTGTGGCTCAAATCCTGCGAGTTTCTCATTAGGCCCTTCAGCATGCGTGCTTCGGGCTCAGAGCCTCGGAGATCGGAGAGCGCGAAGCGTCGGACTCGGACCGAGGCTGTTTTCGTGATTCTGGCTGTGCCGCTGGCCGCAGGTGTGCTGTTGGAAGGCCGGCTTCGATTCTCGCTTGTACATGCCGCGTGTTCTGAGGCTTACAGTACTTCAATGCCTGAGAATCAAAATGAAATGCAAAGACCATCAAAGACCTCCTTGGTCCCCGTTCGCAAAAGATCCGCCCTTGGCTGCACCAATACTTAGTTTAGTTTGCTTTGTGTTTTTACGGTAGCCACTTTTGAGTTGAAGGTTAGCCTCCCTGTGCTCGTTTCCCTTGAACAACAACTGCTAAACAGAAAGGAACTTAGTAAGTGTTGCGCTGTTGGGGGCGGTTTAGATCAAATACGTGACGTTTCTTGGGAGCCCGGGCTTCACAATGAATTGACTTGATTAAGCAGCCAAAGCCCAGGTCGCTTGCCGGAAACAAACACATTATCTCGGGGAACTCAAAATGGATTCCAGAAAAGCATCAGCAACCGCGAGAAATCAAAGCAACAGACACCCGGGAAATCGAAGGCAACAATTCCAACGGCTTTTCGGGAGCACTTGCTCTCTTCCTCAGGTTGGTTGCAGAAGCTTGCTTGCAACAGCCACATTATAGCTAGGTTGGTTGCCCTTGTGTCATTTCAGGATGTTTGTTGGAAGATGGTGATTTTACATGTTTTTAACGAAGGTAGCCGAAGGAGGGGAAACAACATCGAGGCTGCTTGTTCGCCATTAAGTTGCACAAGTCAGAGCTTACTGAGGTGACCCCCGCAGACCTCCCATCCAGAACGCTAGTTGACCATCGCTCCCGAAACTCGAGGGCTTTTGGCAGGTGAATGATCCTTCCGAGTTGCCATTTCATTGTTTACTTCTCGGAAAAAGCGGTGTTGGAAAAGGAGCCCCGGCCCAAGCCCGAATCCCCCGAAAGTTTGTCGGCGCGCGGCTCTCGCCAGACCTGCTGGGCGAGGCGCGCGCGGCCGCGGTGGAGCGCCGGGCCTTGCCGCTGCAGGCGGAGCTCCGGGCCACCGTGCAGGCGTGGTGTGTGGTGTCGGGAAACAAATACTTCTGGGAAAAAAGAACGAAGAAAAAAATACTTCGCTTCGAGCAATCCCCACCCTCCACACTCACGAGCATACGACCGTTATAACAATTTCCTCCGCATCCTAGAGACTTCGACTCCAAATTCCCATCGGCCCCTTCCCAATGATATTTTGCCGCGCAAGAATGGCGAGCCTTATCCACCTGTCTGTGTGTCAAACTCCACTTGTCTGCGAGCCGATCTCGAGAACTCAAACATCGGTTCCGTTAACAAAAAAGCCAAGCCCCTTCCAACAAGAAACCCGACGGAGGATTAAACGAAGTTGCTCACACACAACCCAAAGCAACACAAAAGCATCACCCTTTCCGAGCCTCAGAGCACACTCAAAACACGAAGGCACCAACATGAAATGTAAACCCAACTGTGCGCCGGGCGGGACATTAAGCAAAACCAGACTGGCGGGATACTGGCGGGATCCGCTGGCGAATAATTACTGGCGAGCCGCTCCGGCTCGATACTGGCCGGATACTCGGCAGGATCCACCGGCAAGGGATACTCAGCGGGATGCTCGGCAGGATCCACTGGCGAGCTACTCTGGGATACTCAGCGGGATACTCGGCGGGATCCACTAGCGGGCTGCTCTGGTGGGATACTCGGCGGGCACCACTGGCTGGCGGGATACTCTCTGCGAAACTCAGCGGGATACTCGGCGGGATCCACTGGCGGGCTGCTCTGGCGGGATACTGGGTGGGGGCGTGGTGTAGAAGCATCGCAAACGCGGATTCCAACATAAAATCCAACAACCCCTTCCTGTCGGGCGGGGAACAAACAGACACAAGCCAAGCTCAAACTCAACATTTGCCAAGACAAAACAACTGAATAAATTACAAGAAACGGAGACAAAATCCAAGCCCCCAAAATCGGGAATGTATGGGCTTGGCTCCAAATTAAATTGGGGAATCCCCTTCTGGAAGCAGGGTTTGGGGACAGGCGCTGCCGAAGACGGGCGCCGGGTGCCTGGGCCCCGCGGCGGCGCGCTACGCGCTGCACCGGGTCTTCGTGCAGAAGGGCTGGTTCGTGCACGGCCTGCAGGACTTGGACCCCGTCGGCCCCGTCGGCAACGCGTCGGAGGGCTCGATGTCCCCGGTGGCGATGCTGCAGGACCAGGTGCCTGAGGCGCAGGCCGTGTTCGAGGACCAGCTGCAGCGCCCAAGTGGAAGTTCTCGGAGCCGAGATGTTCCTTTCGTTTTTTCGCGCCAAGGAGTTGGCTCTTGCTTCTTTCTGGTCTTGCTTTCAACAAAACTGGAAAGAGGCTGGCTCTGAATTTGGGCCGAGGCGCGGCGGGCTGTGCCTCCGAGACCTGGCGCTGCTGGCTGGGCTTCTGGAAGACCTCGCGCTCAGTCGAGCATCAATCTCACATCGGAGCGGCCCCCCCCCCGCCCGAGGTAAGACGAAAACATACTTTTGTTTGTTTCTGAGAATCTGTGTGTTGAACCGCAAGTCCTAAACAGGTTCTGAAAGGGTCACAGAACATGGACAACTAGCCAAGGCAACGCCCAGTTTATGGATTGGTCGCCCTTGCGGATCCCATGGCAACATGTTGTTCTTAGACGGCTTTGGTTCATCATGTGCTTGACTTCTTTAAACCTAGCTCAAATTTGATGTGTTCGGGGCCGTCTATTTTCTGATTTTCTTTCGGAACATCCTGGTTTGACTTGAAATAAAGTTTCTTGTCGCTGACCTTGCTATTTGAGAGCTTTGGATGCTGTAAGTCGGGTGCCCATGCCTTGCAGAAACAGCTTGACTTGCCCCAAAAAGGCTCTGAGAGCGAAGGCGCGGCTTGCGCCAAGCGTTCCACGTGCTTCAAGTGCCCACTGAGGTGCACCGGGAGACGATGCAGCGGGTGTCCGCTGCCTTCAAGGCCAAGAAGGTGCCGCTGGTGGGCCGAGTCACGGTGGAACACCTCGCCTCGATGTTGGACTACGTGATGATGAGCTACATCCTGGAGGCATGTCCCATTCCAGTCAGGGCAGTCAGGGGAGAAGCTCAGAAAGAAAACGGTGGGGGGGTTGCCGGTGGGGTTGCCGGTGGGGTGATTGGGGTGTTTGGGGAAATGCCCGGCCGACGCCAATTTTGGAAGCCCGCTTCGGAGTCGTTGAGCCGAAGGTGGCCAACCTGGAGGGCACTGGCCTGGACGTGGCCGAAAATGTGTCGGTGTACTTGGAGGGCAAGCGGCCCATGGAGGAGGTGTACCCAGCCTGGCCCAGGAGACATTCCAAATCCGGCTCTTTTGGTTCAAGTTTGCTGTCTTCAGATTTGCTTTCTCCGACGTTATGGCAACAATACTTTTTCAGCACATTGCACCATGTAAGAGTACGGAATCCTTTGACTTGCTTTCTCCCACGTCATGGCAACAATACTTTTTCAGCGCATTACACCATATAAGAGTACGGAATCCTCTGACTTGCTTCCTCCGACGTCATGGCAACAAACCTTTTCCAGCGCATTGCACCACGTAAGAGTACGGAACCCTCTGACTTGCTTTCTTTGACGTCATGGCAACAATACTTTTTTAGCGCATTGCATCTGGCAAAAGTACGGAATCCTTTGACTTGCTTTCTCCGACGTCATCATGGCAACAATACTTTTTCAGCGCATTGCACCTTGCAAAAGTACGGAATCCTTTGACTTGCTTTCTCCGACGTCATGGCAACAAAACTTTTTCAGCGCATTGCACCATGTAAGAGTACGGAATCCTTTGACTTGCTTTCTCCGACGCCATGGCAACAAGACTTTTTCAGCGCATTGGACCATGTAAGAGTACGGAATCCTCTGACTTGCTTTCTCCGACGTCATGGCAACAAGACTTGTTCAGCGCATTGGACCATGCAAAAGTACGGAATCCTGTTGATTTGCTTTCTCCGACGCCATGGCAACAAGACTTTTTCAGCACATTGCACCATGTAAGAGTACGGAATCCTCTGACTTGCATTCTAAGACGTCATGGCAACAATACTTTTTCAGCGCATTGCACGATGTAAGAGTACGGAATCCTCTGACTTGCTTTCTCCGACGTCATGGCAACAAAACTTTTTCAGCGCATTGCACCATGTAAGAGTACGGAATCCTTTGACTTGCTTTCTCCGACGCCATGGCAACAAGACTTTTTCAGCGCATTGGACCATGTAAGAGTACGGAGTCCTTTGACTTGCATTCTCCGACATCTTGGCAAAAAGACTATTTCAGCGCATTGCACCATGTAAGAGTACGGAATCCTTGGACTTGCTTTCTCCGACGTCATGGCAACAAGACTTCTTCAGCCCATAGCTACATGTAAGAGTACGGAATCCTTTGACTTGCTTTCTCCGACGTCATGGCAACAAAACTTTTTTTGCGCATTGGACCTTGCAAAAGTACGGATCTGACTTGCTTTCTCCGACATCATGGCAACAAGACTTTTTCAGCGCATTGCACCATGCAAAAGTACGGAATCCTTTGACTTGCTTTCTCCGACGTCATGGCAACAAGACTTTTTCAGCGCATTGCACCATGTAAGAGTACGGAATCCTTTGACTTGCTTTCTCCGACATCATGGCATCAAGACTTTTTCAGCGCATTGCACCATGTAAGAGTACGGAATCCTTTGACTTGCTTTCTCCGACATCATGGCATCAAGACTTTTTCAGCGCATTGCACCATGTAAGAGTACGGAATCCTTTGACTTGCTTTCTCCGACATCATGGCATCAAGACTTTTTCAGCGCATTGCACCATGCAAGAGTACGGATTCGTCACA